CCCCCCCCCCAGTCTCACTAGCAAATTCTGTGTTTTGGTTTTTATATTCATATACTAACTATTATGGTTTACTCATAACAGATTCAGCTGGTCTAAGCATACTCTTCTTTCATTGTTCAGATTCAAAGGCTTGGATCCAAAGGATTTCTTACATGATTTTTCACTGCTGCACAAAGGGAGGTGTGGGGAGTGTCATTGAATTATTGTCACCATTGTGACCTTATTGTACATGAAACTGTGAATCCAAGCCAACACCTCTAACCTAGCATTCCAAGTTCATGTCATTTGGTATACTAGTTCTTTCAGGAAATATAGTGAGTTGGAAGACCCCAGTGTTAAATTAGGCAAGAAATACAGAATCAGTATTCTTGTTGGGTCCTGTTGATAAATATTCCTGCTGAGTTCTCACATACCATATATTCTCGTGTATAAGTCAACCTCATATATAAGTGAAGGGCAAGTTTTGGAGCCAAAATTAAGGATTTTCATATGACCCATGGATAAGTCAAGAGTAAAACTTAGGGGGCACATAACAAAGAATGTAAAGGACGAAGCAAAGGAAAGCAATGCCAAAGAACTTACACAATTCTGGCAGGCATAATTATGCTCAACCTAAAGGTTGAATAGATAAGAAGGAAACTATAGTAAATGATTGCTGTGCGATATGTTTGGGAAGTGACCAGGTGTGGACGGGGCTAGGAAAACACTCACTAGTCAAAAAAGATGTAAAGTCAAGGTACAGCATTAACTCTTATAAAAAAGGGAAGGGGGGATCAGCCCCTTCTCTGAGTGGCAAAAAGAGAGAGAATTCTACTCCTCCCTGCAAATGTGCTAGAGGGGAAATCTGTATTGCATGATGCTGGATGGACTTCACTGTCACTACATTATATAGATGAAAGTACATGATCAATATGTATCTACCAGTAGTGGCTGATGTTTTCCATGGTAGTTAGATAATTAATCCACTCCAGGTTTTAGTCTAAGCTTTAAAGAATCTATCAAAGCTACAAAACGTATTTGGAGGACAACTTTCAACACAATGGAAAACTCCTTGAAATTTTCAGCTACAGATAAATACTACAGGTTTTATTGATTTCAACAAACATTAAACTGTTACTGAAAGGCATTTTCGAAGGAGAAAATAGCTTTTAATAAACCACATTAACAACTCTGTATTTTGTTGTTCTCTAATATGTCTGCTCTTCAGAAGTATTATTCCTCCACCTCATCCCGATACTATGCATTTCTCAAATAAACACTGTTTCAGGACATCCTAGACTCAGAGATTTATAATCATTAACATTTCTGCAATCAAGATTAACATTGACAACTGAGATATAATAATGGGGGGGAGGAGTTAATAATATCACATTTGCAAAATTAATTATAACACAATCATGCAAGTATATCTGAACTTAGAAGACACTTCAAAAAAACTGCCTAATGAGTTAGGCAAAAATTCTGAGAGGGGGAATCACACTGAGATTCACCTAAGATTTTCAAATGGCTTGAAATTTAAAACTAAGACTTAAAGGAATACTAACTATACTGAAGGATGGAAGGCAGTATGCTGTAACTATTGATAAAAGAAGAGGAAGAAAGATGTATACCACTTTGAATGGTTAGAGGCAGAATTGTAGAATTCTAATACTTTTTTTTAAGTTTGGGAATCACTCAGATTATCATTCCTGAAAAAGCTGAGGAATTTTCATCCTGGGGAAGCTACATTTACAATGACAGATTAAAGCCAACTTTACTGATATTGTTGTTGGAAGATAAAATCAACCATGATACACTATCTATTTCACAGCAATTCAGACACACAGTAATTTTGGAAGATGCAATGAATAGGGAGGGTTGCAGACTGCCAGAAATAGTGCAAATTGAGTCCACTTTTAGGGTTAGGGAATCATGGGAACTGTATTTTATTGTGGCACCAGAGCTCTCTGACAGAGAAAGCTCAATGTCTCAGAAAAAAACATCCCATGATTCCCTACCGCTAACCCTAACCCTAAAAGTGGACTCAATTTGCACTATTTCTGGCAGTCTGCAACCCACCTCTGTTCCACACATAGAGAAAAAACCAAATTGTATGCCTTAATAATTACAACTCTATTTTCTGTAAAATAACTTATAACTTCCAAAAAAACATTAACTGCATTATGTTATTTCCATAGATTAATTTTAGAAATGTTCTGAATACAGACTTTTGTACTATACTCATGGGTCAGAAAGATGTTTCTGTCTGAGAGGGACTCTTCTAGGGCATACGGGCAGACAATATGAATGTAGCTCTGCGGGTGTTCAAATACACAGGAAGATTAATTAGTTGTTGTCTACATTCCGCTTACAACATAGATTGCAAACCACTCCTGCACTGGAAAATCAATTGAGATTAAAGCAGCTTTAGCAAAACAGAGTTACAGACAACCAATACTCTGACTTCTTCAAAGAAGAAAATACTTAATAAAAAACAACCTTTCATCTACATTTCTTACTAATAGTTAAAACATAACTCAAAGGAAAGGATGTAATTTTAATTAGCAAAGCATTTGGGTATAAGATGCAAAGTAGACCTTTTGACATGTTAATTTATTCTAAGTTAACTAAGGGGCGGAACAGACTGTCCGAAAAGGGCAGATTGGGGCAGCCCTGGAGCCACTCGGCCTGGTGCCACAGCAACCACATGATGTGGCCCTAGTCAGCCCAAACAGGAGTGGAAAAGATCCCAGGATGGTTTCAAGCTGCTCAGGTGGTGTGTGACATACAAACGACAAGCCCCCATAGCGCCTTGAAGCCACTCATGTCTGGTTAGCCAGGGCGGCTTCCAAACATCTTGGGGGCGTGCAGCATCTAAACGCCACACGCTGCCCAGAAGCCGGCTTTACTGGCCAGTCTGCTCAGCCCGTTACTTGCATTCTGGGGGCAAATCAGAAGTATACGTGTTTATTAAACATAGACTTGTACATCTGGCTGCAAAGCACATGTAGAAAGGACATTCTGTTCTATACTTCCCATTTTAAAGTTGTTTTTTTCCTGCTGCCTTTGTTACTGGTATCAAAGCGGGGCTGAGCAAAAGTGGCTTACAGCAGAATATACAATAAAGTAGGGAGGCAGTGAGGTTTCCTTCTTCAGACAATACTGTACAAAAAAGTAACTGCTCCACTCCTGATCTACAGCAGAAAGCACATCTGAGTTGGTCCTCAGCAACTAGTTATCTGTAACCAATACAGCATCAACAGCCGGATGACGAATAGGCAAGGGTTAGTTATATGCAGTTGAAACAATGAACATAGAACAGTCCAAAATTCTGATGGCTTAAAAAAATGGGAGTCCTATATGACTTATGCCAATATGTTCAAGACTTTCTAAACACAGGCAGAAATTACAACTGATTTCATTTTCAAGGCTGTTTCTTAGTCATAAATATCGTCCTGTTTAGGACAGGTTCTTATGTGAGTAAGTTATTCCCAGGTTCTTCAGATGCAATTAAAAAAAAAATCATCCCTAGATGCAGGGATGAACCTATAGAAGGTTCAACATGTTTTTTGCTAACCTTTCACATGTGGATTTATTTGGGGTTTTTTTAAGTTTCAAATGAAAAGTTTACTGAAACATGTTGAACCACTCTTCTTTTTAATGGTGTAGGGACCTATCCCTATTATTCCATGGTACTTCTGACACTGGTATCAAAGTTTCTGTTGAAGAAGTAATGCCCAGAAACACATCAATTTATTAACTGAGGCATACCTTTACTTTAAATCAAAAATATAACAAAACTTCAAGCTAAGACATTTAAATAAAAGAGAGACTGATACCGTGTGTATTCTTCTTGAAGTTTATTAGGATCGCCTACAAAAAATTTGACTCTGAAGTTCAAACTGTGAGGAGATCCTCCTAAAATTAACCAAAACATCTTATTAGAATATAAGAATAATCTGATTTTGTAAGTATTTTTAATGTAAGATAAGTTTTAAAAAAAGTTTTGCTTACTCTTCAATTGTTTCCTGATTGGCTTGTTTGGATCCAGCCACCTCTGGAAAGAAAATAAGTAACTCATTATGTGTTTTTTTCCAAAATAACAAACGTTATCATTGTAATATTGCTCAACAATATAAAATAAACACAACTATGTTATGCGGTACTTATGGTGTAAAATTGGTGACTAGATACATAGCACATTTCTCCTTGACAACTAGACCAAGCCGATCATCTGCATCTGCTCTGGAGGCACAAAATATGCAGCTAAAGGAGCTACTGACTACACAGGATAAACATAACATGGGATAACTCCAAGGTAGCTATTGATCACGTAACCTGATTGTTTTTCCTGCTATGTGGCTCAAATTGTAATCTGGCAATTACAAAATCCTTATCAAATGTAACAATGCTGTTAATGGAATTTTTATTCCATATGATATGCCTCACTATGTTAAAAACTATGAGTAATACACACAAGCAACTGAACTGATTTTTTCCTGCTGAGAAAAAATCAGATTTTGTGGAGTAAAGCTGCTAAAAATGCACTTACTCTTATAAGAAACTTAATGGCACCCTGAGAATGCCAATGCTCTGTTTAATGCCTATCTTTTTGCTAATTTTCCAATTCTTCTTTTTCAAACCCCATAAAAAGTCAAAAAGATAAAATCATCTCCTACAGGACTATCATGAACTCCATTCTTTTTTGTTTTTGTAAAAACTTTTTATCTTGTAATATTTTTTCTAAGAATGTACACAAAATTATATTCTCTGAATTCAGAGTTACACACCTAGTAGCTGAAACCATTTTAAGGACCAATCTACCACATAAGTGCTACTGAAAGTGGTCTTTGAACCAGTGCCAACCCTTGTTTATCAATCCACACAGTGTTTCCAAGAAAAAAAAGAAGAAACAGTTGGGGTCAATTGGCACAAATATGGCACCAGTCCCTGATACACTGGGGGGGGGGGATATTAAATGGCCTGTTTCCCAAATGAGAGAGTATTTTTATACTGTGAGAGCCAGTGTGGTGTAGTGGTTTGAGTGCTGGACTACGATTGTGGAGATCAGGGTTCAATTCCCTGTTTGGTCATGGAAACCCACTGGTGACCTTGAGTGAGTTACACACTCACAGCCCAGAAAACCACGATAGGCCTTAGGGTTGTCATAAGCTGGAAACAACTTGAAGGCATGCAACAAATAAAAAAACAGAAGTTAGATTCAACACTAGAGGGAGCACAATGGAGAAGTCTATAAGGTAAGATCACTCCAGCTACTAAAACCAAGTAGAGTAATTAAATGAGGAATCATATTTATCTAACAATTCAGGTACAACCCAATTTTTCCCCAATTCAAAACATCTGCTTTTCCTTACAAGTTCTGATTTCAGGAACAGTGAGGTCAAATACCCTTTTATTCTGGAAGTGCTTCAACCAAAAACACACATAATGTAACACAGGAAAACTAAGCAACGTATTCTGGAAAGTTTTTAATATTCTGTATGTCTATCACATATTGGCACATGTGATACAGAAAGACTATATTCTTTCCTAAAAATTAGGAATACACAGCAACCTTATGATTTAGTTTGTACCCTGATTTGTCAATCGCTTGGTTTAATTCAGAATTATTTGGAAAATATCCAATTTGATTCATGTCTGTGTTCAGATCTTGGATTACTCTGTAAAACAATCTGACCATCCAGCATTTTCCAATCAGCATCCAATGCTACTCCCTCTTCAGTCCCAAAAATGCCACAAAAACTCTTAATATTCCTGACAGAGTTAAGGTACAGACTGTCTTTGAAGGAGCCCGCCTTCAGTTAGGCCATGTTCTGAATCTTTTCCAATCAACTTTATTTGGTTCAGGATTCAGCTTCATCTAAAGCACTCAGCAACTAAGCATACAGGCTTTGTAAACTTTTGCTAATGCTAATACATGAAGGCACAGGGATATAGACAATGAGCTTGAAGATACGGGGGGGGGGGGGGGGGGGCATCAGACAAGGAAGGATTTGGATCTACTGTTAGATGTGCACACTGACGATAAAAAAACACAAAAGGCCTCATGCATCCTGTCTGAAATACAGTGTGGGCATGCCATACATGGCTTCAAGCTTATGCTTATGGCAAGCGCTGGAAGTTATAATGGCACGTACAGCCGTTGAAACAAACAGGACTTGCGGTCCTGCATTTTTTGCCTTACACAGGGGATCCAGAATGGATCTCTCATGTATAAGAAGGGCCCACTGTAGTCATATTTCTTCAGGAAACAACACTTGCTCAATTCTCTCTCTGTCTGAAACTATGAGCCAAGGGATATATTATTGACCATATGTGGAACATTCAAGGATTACTTTCTAGGCCACTGATTTCCAGGCATTATATTCTACAGATTGGGGGGAGGAAAGCTTCATTATAATAAAGGATATGTCATCTAAGCTTGTACAATCAGTATTAACTACATTTGCGCAACCTCCCCCCAAAATCAAAACAAACACAAGAACAACACTCCTCCCTGCAATAGCCCAGTAATAAGAAAATATATGATACCCTAACATGTTACTTGACAGTGCAATCTGAAAAACTTGGTGATGTACTAAGGATTATCCTTCATATTTGTGAAATTATATGGTGAGAGAAAGAATGCAGAGTGAATCAAACTTAGTCTGTATCTCATACATTAAAATCAGTCTTTTAAAATACAAACAAATATTGGCATATTTTAAAATATAAATAGGTCCATCATAGTGAAAAAGAACCTGTTTAACCAGCAACAGGGAACACAATAGGATGGTCACACTTTAAAAACTGGTTAAAAATTGCTGCAGAGAGGAAAAGTATATTTAGTTTAAAAGAGATAATGGATGCAAGAACAGATGGATATTCACTATCTATCAATATATTTAAGCTAGACATCAGGAAGTGCTTTCTAAAGCTTTGTTGTTGTTGTTGTTGTGTGCCTTTAAGTACCTATAATGGGAGTTTCTTGGCAAGATTTGTTCAGAGGTGGGTTGCCACTGCCTTCCTTTGAGGCTGAGAGAGTGTGACTTGCCCAAGGTCACCCAGTAGGTTTCCATGGCTGAGTGGGAAACTAAACCCAGTTCTCGAAAATCATAATCCAACACTCAAACCACTGCGCCATGCTGGCTCTCTAACACTAAATATGTAAAAACAGAACACTTCACGAGAAGTGGCTATTTGTTTTAAAAAGTTGAATGAATTTGCAAAATATATTTGATAATACTGAATAATTAGAATCTTGATATTCTCAGCCTTCTTTATTTTAAAAAAATATTTCCCAATCTTTTTACTGGAATGGACATGAGAGATGAGATCCTACAATAAAGGGCAGGATTAAACTGTTTTTAAAAATAAAATAAAAGATTGTATTTGCAAACAGGGTGAAGTTATATGAGTTGCCCAAGATCTTCAAATTTCTCCTGAAGAGTAACCTTTGGTAACCCACATGTGACACCTGGGGCTTACAAAATGTGGAGAAATCACTAGCATGAATTTCCCACCAGAGATTCTGAAAAGTCTACCTCTAACATCACCCCTGTGAAAATCTTCCCAAAATCTAATCCTTTTTTAATTTTCTATATAACTCTAGATAGTGGGAATATGGAGTACTACTGAATATTAAAATACAAGTGAGATCAAGCAACCCTGTCATGTTTAGACAGGAGGTGTTGGCCATCCAGGTAAATTCAGCATGTCTCAAAAATGGAGAAAGAGGCCCGCCATATGGCAAATCAGGCCTGTTTCTCCTAACATCACCTTCCCTAATCTTTCAGCTTAACCTTTATCAACTTGACCCAACATCAACTTGACGAACATTACACAGCTGTTGTTTCCCTTTAAAACATCAAGGACAGTGTCAGCAACAGAGATGGTGGTCTACGTTCATGAACTGTAGTTTACTGGATGCTTATGTACTGATCTGTACCTTTTCATTGTGTACAAATTACAATGCATAATTTGAACTCCACTGATACACAGCTTGGTTTTTTAAAAAAAATAAATGAATGAAATAAAACTGCAATTTTTCATTTAAATACAATTTAAATACAAATTGCTTAAAATTTCATATTAATTTTTTCCTTAGCTGAAAATGTATCATTTTTAAAACACTCAAAATTTCATGAGATCTATTCTCTTAACTTTAGCTGATTCAAAGAACTAATTTCCATCTAAAACTAAGGAAACAACACAAATTTAATATCTGTACAGTATGAGGTATTAATTGATTTTCCTAGCACATTTTTCCTAAATTCTCCATTCTATTGAGGTAAAATAACTGCAAGGTGGACATTACCTCATTTTAGAGGTTTTCAGAAGTCTTGATTTTTTTAAAATATATCCAACAGAATGTGTTTGTCCAACCTGTCACTGCATGACATTTTGTGCATGTCATATGACACAGCTCATCATTAAGTATTTTGTAAGTGATTAAATAAGATTAAAATATTTACCATATTCTTGCAGAAATAATAGTTGTTGCCCATTGCGACAACTATTTCAGAGATATACATTATTTATTTATTTGGAGTAATTATATCCCGCTCTTCAGCCAGAAAGGCTCTCAGAGCTGCTTACAAATAGTTAATTAAACTGTTCCCTGCCCTCAGACTCACAATCTAAAAAGATATGACACAAAAGGAGAAGGGAATGGTGGTGTGGAAGGGATTCAGGTCCAGCAGTTCTTCTCTTACACTGGAACCTGGACTATGGCAGATGGACTGGAGGGAGGGCTCTTCTTAGTCTAGGCTAGGCCTGAAGGAGCTTAATTTAATAATTTCAGAAAGTTGATGCATTACTTTGAAATAGTGGTTATTATGGAGCAAGCTACATAAACAAATGCTGTAGGTAATATTAATACAAGGCTCCATCTACAGTGCAGAATCAATGCAGTTTGACATTGCTTTAACTGCTATGGCTCAATGTTATGGAATTATGGGATTTATAGTTTTGTGAGATATTTAGCCTTGTGTGTACTTATTTCTTCTACTTCCTCACCATCATTCTTAGTCTACCCCATTCTCAGATGAAATGAAAGGCCATGGGAATGGGGGCGGGGGGGGGGGGGGGGGGGGGGGGGGGGGGGGGGGGGGGGGGAGAGAAAGACGACTGAATGAACCTAGCATTAGTTTTATTTCTATTCTATTTTACAATTTGTAATACGTACACAGGCCAAGGAACTGTAAAATGCTTCTCGGTACCAAGTGTCTGCTCAACACTGGCAGCATGGTAACAAGAGAACTAAATATGTAGAATATATATATATGTAGGGAGATATTAAAATAGAAAGGCAACATTCTTATTCATTGGAACTAACCCAAGAACCTCACCAATGGCACCACTTTTCCACAGTGGTGGAACTGCGTGCTCTTATGAAGCAAGAGGCTATGCCGATGGCAGCAGTATTACACACAGACTTTTGATAAGGAGCCAGAATAAATGTGCCAAACAGCTACTGGACTGCAGCAGTGTATGTGGGTGACACTAGCAGAGGCTCTCTCTCAGTAGGTGTATGTGAGTGACACTAGCAGAGGCTCTCACCATAGCTGACACTTGTTAGTACTGCACTGGAGGCATCATAAATCCCTTTTGAATGTCCTTTACCATGAAAACCCTATGATGAGACAACTCAAAATGAAATAGGAGACAGAGCCAGAAGATGACACTTCCAGGTTGCATGGCACTCAACACGTTACTGGGGTATAGCAAGGACAACTACAAATAGCGCTGTGGCTAATGACACAACTGGACTCAAGCTGAAATGACGTTCACCTGCTGATATGCTCAGAGGTGAAAGAAAAGTCCAAAGCTGCACAACACATATTATAGGAACATGGAATGTGAGAATCATAAATCAGGAGAGCCTATAAATAGTAGAACAAGAAATGAAACATATAAACATTGCAATGCTTGGAGTAAGCAAGTTGAAGTGGACAGGAATGGAACATTTTGAGTCAGCTAATTACACAGTGTTTTACTCAGGGAAAAAAAACTAAGAAGAAATAGTGGCATTAACAGTGAAGAGTAATGTAGCAAAAGCAAAGTATATAATGCAAAAGTCTCACATAATATT